TTCTTGGTTTTCAAGACAAGTCATTAAGATCGATATGTTTTGGACTTCTGCGGCAATCCTTAGATTAGTTCCAGTTTTAATTTTGATTTCAGGAGATAGCATCTTTATGCGGTTGTGGTTTACCGTGTAAACGAATTTATAATAATTTTCTCTAAAAAAACCACAACTAACCAAAAAAGATTGATCATGAAGTAGGATGGATTTAACCGAAACTTCCGCCACACTTTACTTACGTATATAACATACAGAAAATAATGATAATTTGCCTATATTAGGTATTTTAATTACTAATCTTTTTTTTTGTAATTCTGCATTGAAAATTGATCTGTTTTGGATGTGCTACAAAGTCTTTTTTGTTATTTAAATTTATTAAAAATAAAGAAGCTAACGTTTTCTTACGTCTTCGTATTGGTAGAAAATTTATATTTAGTTTTTTATTAACATTGTAGGCATTTCAATTTATGAGTAATTATCAATAGTAGTTCTAAGAAAAGCCCATATAGAATACCAAAATTAAGTTTTATTTTATTCTGTTTGAAAGTTACTTTTCCTTGTAAGGATTTAACTGAATAGGCGAAAAATGATCAATAGAACCATTTGCATACAGCGTGGAATTCACGTCAAAAAGCTCAGCAATATTCGCTATATAAACAATAGACCGGTCTAAAGTTTAAAGCTCATTTTGTGTTGTTAACATTAATACTTAAGTATGTACCTAATTCACAATTAAAGTTTGGAAAAGTTAACGATTTATTAAGGATTGTGGAAAAGTTGCAAATATTAACCGTCCAGACCTATGGTTCTGATGATAATCACTTACAATTAGTCACTTAGGGATTTGTTTGTGTTATTTTTTGGGCTCTAAGTAGAAAAGGAAAAAGAATATCGGATAAAAATGTAAAAAATGCTTTCTTTTTTAATTTTTAGTTTTAAAAATGCCATTTTCTCTATTAGGAATGTTGCAAATTTGCCCTTCGAGGGGTTGCTTCTTTAATAAGTACTTCAGGGTTGTTATTATGGTCAGTTTTCAAATGAGGACATCTTTTATAGAATAATTTTCCCCACATTACAATGATAGGTAGAGTAGTAAAGATAAAATGTAGATTTTTACCTATGGACGGAGAACAAGGAGAAATATTACAAGAATTAAGTATATCATTGGAAGTGTCCGAACTGGTTTCGATATAACGACTGTTACGCAATACTTATAACCTAATCTCGCCAGACTTTCCGTGGTTAGGTAATATCGCGAGTAAAGTAGAAAGTGTTCATATACGTACACCCATACATACTTGAAGGTGCATATGCTTATATCAACATGCATACACCAAACAAGTAACCGTGGAAACGTTGTATTGTACCTACATATATCCACAACCTACTGGGACATGTGTCTCTTTCGATGTGTGTGTTAAATTAACAGACATTTGTTTTGCGACCGCGAATGGCTTTTTTAATCACCGCGGCAGTTTTATAATAAAATTTCCCGGTGCGCGCCAGCAGTCGAAAGTTTAATTATTGCGAATTACTAAGCTGGAATTGTTTGTTCAAACGGCGCACGTACAGATATACGTATATGTAAAAATGTAGCTTCGAAAATTGAGGCAATGAATGACCCGTTTTAAGTTCAAATAATGGCTGCCCTCGCCTCGATTGCATTTTATTTAACGAATTATTATTGTCTGTGTTGTTATTTGAAATAATAATGGAAATGACGTGTGTTTTTTGCAAATGGTCAAATAAAAACAAATCTAAGTACCGTTTCGTTTATATTTGTTCCAATTAAGATCCAAAATTGTCGACAGTAGATTCAAAAAACACCTGACGAGTTTATAGATATAGTAAGAAGAAAAATGACTGCTTCACAAAGGGTCAATAAAAAATCTCAAGCATATGCAATGGGTCTGTACAATCACGATTTAAAAATCACTGCCAAAAGGGTTTCCATTTTAGTGTATTACGATTATGCAATTCACTCAGTGCCAAATAAGTATTGACAGGACAACTGACTGGGTTTTCACTGAAGATGAATCATGAAAGGATTAACGAAATTTGTACTTTCGAAGTCTTGAAATTTTTGCCAATTTATGTTGGCAATATTAAGCTTCTCTTACAATTTTGAAACTGGTTCAAGTGGATCATTTACAATTCGTTCGCGGTCACAATGTGGTGCTTGGGCCTGGGGTTCGGAGCCTCGATTTACATGGGCGGCACACGTCTCTCGGCATCTATTGTTTACTAAATTGCGTTACTTAATTAAGCTTCTCGCCTGATGAGATTGACAATCGATGGACGAAACGTTGCGAATAAAATGCTTGCAAACTTTGAATGTGATCAACTACAAATTATAGAATTCATTATTTAGAGTAATATCAATAATCAGCAGTAGAAACTTAAGGGGTTTTGTTCATTCCAGCAAATATCAAACCCTAAACTACAAAGTAAAATCGTTTTTGAAAAAAGATTAAATAAAACTGTATTTAGTATAACAATTTGGTTTTGACTTCAAACAATTGTATTTAATTTTACATTTTTTTAATAAAGAAAAATACTAGTGCCTATCTTATTAAAATTCGTTAATTAATGTTGTTAAATAAATACGTTTTTCTTTTGTTTTTACTGCTTAACTGATGCATAGCATGCTTCATTTTTTACACTAACATGGAAGGCAAGTTCATAAAAAAGCTTGTTAAGTGTTAATGAGAGCAGAAAACAGAACACGTTGCTGACATGTTAAAATTTAATTACTAGCATCTCTAATAAAACAGAACTGCAGTATCTAAAATAAATTATTGCTAAATGCTGTTAAGAATGAGAAAGCATCATTTTTTTCCTATATCTAAATTACCTAATTCTACTTTCTGCTGACTTCAGATATCAACAATCTGATTAGGTAATAAAAATATTAGATAGCTAAATAACAATAAGTATCTTAATTAATTAAAAATGTTTCTACTACAATATCTAGCTTTCCACATCCCGGATGTGATTACACATTTTGGGCCGACTGTTTTGCATAAATGCAACATAAACAGTAACTTCTACTAAATTTAGAAAGTCATAAAATCTGAAATTTAAAATTATTGGCGGTTTCAATGATTCTGTAACCAGCTTTCTACATTTTAGTACATTATTCAAGTATAAATATAGTGTAATTTACAACTGGAGTAAAATCTGTTATACTTATTTAATTATAAAATGACTATCGTTGGAAAAAGAGTTCTTGTTGAAGGCTTGACCGCACTTATTGAGATTTTTCTTATATTTCATTGAGAAACAATTGCCAGTGTGCGTACTTGATAAATATTTAAACTTTTTGACGAGAAGAATAGTGTGTAATGTGTCCTAATGTTTAATGACCACGTTTTATTGTTTTGTCAGTTGAATGTCAATAAAGGTGTTAATATTTGTAACTACAAAAAGTAAAAAAAGAAAAATAGGTCAAGTGTAAATCAGTAAACGCATGATCAGCGTTGCACGTCATTAACGACGTATTCAGAAGGGGAGATAGTGTTTTAGATGTCTTTTTTCAAATTGCAATGATTTAATACGTTACATGCATATATCTCAATCTATAGAAATCGATATCCCGATCATCAAAATCGCTCAAAAATTAACGAATTTGTCAAATCAATATTGGTCAACTTTGACGACCACTGGAGGAAAAATTGGCCATGAAATCGAAAAATGTTTCATTGAGAGACTTTTCCCCCCATTAGTATTCATTTCTGAAATAATCTCAGACGGCAGATCCTGAAGGACAAATTACCATTAGAGTGATTTTTCTTCTTAGTAAATAAATCCTTTAGGTAAAGTAGTTCTTTAAACTTTTAGTTTGATAACTTCCAAGCCGGTATAAAATTGTCCCCCAAGACAAGTTCTGTCTTATTATATTCACATTAACCTTCGTAAAAACTTTTTTTATTTTGTTAACTGTTCTCGATTACGAATTAAGGATATGTTTACCACCATTTTGTCGTAGTTAAAGAATAGATTGCAATTGTCGTTTTTTCTTCAAAGTGACTCAAAGTATTCAGTTTTTGTACGATTCTGTTTGCATGCATGAAAGGTACAATTTGAAATTTGTTGATAGTACGAAACAGCTGTTGTGGACATTTCATCCTTGCCAACACAGAGAAGACACCACTCAAAAATTTTCAAATCGTTATTAAGCTCAGACTAGCGACTGGGGCAGGTTCAAAATTTTCTAGAGTATGTCCAGCTTGTCCTGGAGTATCTCTGACTACGGTCAAAAGCTAAGTATGATTACTTCATTTGTTAAATTTTCTTCTACAATTGCGGTAGGAATTTCCAAAGGTAGCACGTTGTTCTTCTCTTGAGTGCTGTACATTACTGCCTTGAGTGCTGAGTGGCTTGAGCGATACGTAGTACTAGTTAGTTGGTTAGTACTCCGCAACACTCAAGGCAGTACTACTCAGCACTCAAGGCAACTAAGAACGAGATGAAAAACGTGATAGTCTTGAAAATGTCTGCTGGAGGTTTAGGCGAAACGTCGGGCGATAATTTCCAAAGACAACAGCCAGAAAGCCCGAAAATAAATAATAATAATAATAGTACTGAGGACGCTGGGCCGTGAAAGCCTACGTTTATTTGTTTACATTTTATGTCTTTTTGTTTTTACTATGAATAACTTATCTTCATCACTAAATATTTCCTTAAAAAAAATCAGTAAAAAGGAAATGATTCAGTTCATGACTATTCTGTTAATTTAACTTCCCTTAGAAGTACCTTAGGACCATTAGAGCATGACAAGCATTATTACCAGAAAAGCATAAAACAGACATTATACTGATGATGGGTCCAATGAACGATTTGCAACGAGAAATCGCATGAACCTTTTGAATCGCCGAAGACAATTCTTTTCGCGAATGTGGAGCAACAACGGTCACCCTTACATCATCGTTGTCCATTTATCTTTTACAATATAGAGAACTAAAGGTGGTGGCACGGTGACACAGCATGATATTCATTGCTTCTCGATCGGCACCTTTCTCCAACCACTAAGAGTGAATTCGGTGAGAACCTGAGAACGATACCTGTTGTTGTTGTGTCTTGTTTAGCCGTCACAGAAATCGAAAGTAAAACGTCTTGTGAACCGCGCCAACTTCCGTGACCGAGGAAAAGAAGAAATCTTCATTAACAAAATGAATCTCGTACTTATTACTTGACAATAATAACAGCATCGAAATAAAAAGAGATTCTTGTGTTAATCTTCCAGCGGTCACCGACAATTATGTGCCCAGTTTAGGTAAAAAGTGCGCGTTTTTGGTTTATTTAGCGTGCTTCTCAATAAAATATGAATTCAAATTGATATTAAAACCTGAAAGTTGTTTTTATTTGGGACCGTTGGTTTTCAAAAGGATTCTTTATCAATATGGCGTTTTTCGGTTTTTTTACGTTAGTGTTTTTGTGGTTTGGTGGTGTCTTCTCGGTAAATTTTGTGACGTATAATTCAACTGATTTATCATATTTGTCCAATGGTATTCAAATACCGATAGCAATGGCATCCGCGAGCGACCCTGTAATTGAAGAAACTCCAGACAGTTCTGCGAAACGATTGCCGGAAATGGAGTGGCTCCGCGGACTCTACAACCACCATAACTGGGAAAGCAGATTACACTCTGTGGAAAACATCAACTGTAGGACCGACATGCGACTTTATCTTAACGAATTGAATAATGGAACTACTTGGGCTATAAAAAGTGAGTTTTGTTCACAATGAAAATAAAAAAAAACATTTTTTAACTAATTATTATAAATTAAGTCAAGGAAGCTATTTAATTCCTCCAGACCAATGATTATTTTTTGAAGTGAAACTTCTTTACGCACGGTAGGGTAAGTTCGTTTTATGCGAGTTGCTATGTAACGAAATCATGCAACGGATGTCTCGTAGTGGGGATCGCTTGAGCCGTGAGCGGGCTTCAATGCAACGTTCGTTACGGGCAACTTCGGCATGTATAGTGTAAAATTTAAATTCGTAGTGTACAAATAATACCATTAAACCAATTACTTAACCCCTATCCTGGTATGTTTGTGTATTTGAAGAAGTTTCACTTCAGTAGCGTGTTGTTTAATTACACGTTGTATATTTTAATTATATTTTCAAAAAAAAAAAATAAAAGAAGGAACTTCATGGATTAGGATATATGTACCCGTATCAAAATAATCTTATATTAAGTGAATTATTAGAGAAAAAAGACGCTAATATGAATAAAGAAAGGAATTGATTAATAAACTGTGCTTTGATATTTTAGTAGAAAGAGAAGTACTAAAGAAATAATTTCAGCTGTTTCACGATTAAGATAATTAATTAAAATGATCACAGCCAGTTAGCCAATCACAAGTATCAGGTCTATAATTTATTTTTGAAAGAGCCCATATGGGTAATTGGTTATGAATATATTCCTTGATGAATCATCTTCATTTTCGCCAACTTGCGCAAGCAAGAATAGATAGCAAAATGTTATAACAGACGGCAAAGGTAATTATTTGAATAGGCGATTTAAATAGCATAAGAATTGTTATATAACGTTTGAAATTTTATTGTACGTGGTCGTTACACTTTCTGCAACCTGTGATAATGCCTTCCAGACACGTTTCAATAAATAAATGATTTCTGTATGCAGTGAACATATCTACTCGGCAATTTTGACCATTAGCACGTGAAGAACGAGTTGGCTAATTTGGCTCAGTTGTAACACTTTCGCATACATGCATAACAGTATAACTGTACTTTGTGAAGGAAAGTAGCCAATAGCAATTAACTGATTAATTAACAAGAAGACAAACCAGCCGAGGTAGGATGGAAAAACTAAGTAGTCTTTTCCGTATTTTCTCCCTTGAAAGCATTTTCAAGTTTAAGATCATCATATTAATTTATTTTTGGCAAACAAAGGTGCCGACTATTGCAAACGCCAGTGTGAAAGTGACAGTATTCTTAAGTACTGTTGGGTATGTTTGTCGTTAATGAATTAATAGTCGACTCTTGGTGTTACAAAAGAACGGCTAAATTTTTTATTGAACTTGAAATTAGAAAACGAACGAACTGGTTGTTCTTTCTACCGGAAAATACATACCTCTAAATATCACGTTTCTGCAATAGTTTTTCAATTTTTGGAAAACAAATTAAATATTTAGGTAGATACTAATTTAACGAAGAAATAAAAAAATGCACATATTAAATATACGAAACGAAAAAACTGCTTGTCATTGAAAATTGTAACCCACGTGGTGTAGTTCTTATCAATGGAGGAGTGACATTACTTTTCTTCTTGGACGTCTTAGCTGGTGCGTGTTGATATAAAGTTAGAGAATTATTGAATGAATTCTTGTCGTCGCGTATGGTGTTACTTCCGGATAGTTGCAATTTGTGCTACTGCATCTTCACCAAAGTGGAAGATACGAAGATTCCTTTTCGCCAAAATTTCAGGGACCGTTGGATAATTTTTAATGAGATTAACAAACATTTTCAGACAGAATGAACAAATAGAGACAGAATTATACTAGAGAATCCGTGATGGTAAATCGTTTTCGAACTGGTTACTCAAAAACTACTACAGTAATTTCAAGATAAGTTTTATTAAAATGCTGCTTCCAAAATTTTTATATATTTTTTACATGGTGTTCTTTCAACTTACCTTGAAAGTAGTAACTAAAACCTACATTTAGAACTTCTTACTTGTTTAAGTTTAAAAATGAGAGGGGGGCTGTAATGTCGTTGAGTACAGCAAATAAATCGTGACAAAAGGGTGAAAAGCAGAGGCCTTTTTTGTTGTATTTCAAGGGACTTTTCGAAAGGGACGGAAGAATTGTGATATACAAATAAAAAGACGAATGGAAGCATGAATTGACCGAAACTGTGAGGGTTTCTTGTTGACTACGGACCCTTAAAATGGCATTTATTCCCGCGTTTGATTTATGTACATTAATTTTAAGAGAATCATTGTAATGCTAATAGATCAGGCGGAAATGATACAAACTATTGGGAGTTTGAAATGTATGTTTTTATTCAGAAACAGAGCAAATTCAAATCGATATCGTAGCTATTAGTTAGGACGTTCAAAATTGGCATAGTCCGCAATAAAACTGTCACATTTTCTTTCAAGTTACTAACTACACTAGAGGGATTGCTGACAGAACGCCTACTTTAACTACGACAGACTTTGTAGGGAATATAGCAAACGTAGAAAAGAGATGCCAGGTGGGAATTGCAGCGGACACTAACAAAGAAAAAGGAACAACATTATACCAATTGATATGTAACAAAAAGAGATGCAGACAAGTAGAATTTGAGCATGTTACCAGCATCGGACTTTAAAGAAACTTCAACATTTTCAGAAATTTAGAAAAGTAAAGACGCTTGCTTAAAGATATAATTCCAACCAGGTAGTTATAAAGCTAACCCCTCACCGCTTACTGTTATTGACTTGTCTGTACTACTCATGAAGCATTTCCTAACTTTAAAGGGCATGCTTAAAAGTGGAAACATGAAAGAAGATACGTCCATTCTTATAGATAATTTATTCAGGACTGGGCCAATTTTGATCGTCCTAATTATATTATAATCAGTTAAGCCTCGTAATTTACATCAACTTCGTAGTAAAAGTAACCCGTTTCAAGCATAAATATATACTATAGGCAGATGGTAAGATCAAGTCATTACGAGATGCATACATAAAATCATTCGATCGATTTGATTCAATCGGCAGACATTTTGTATCTTTTTGATTGGTTATGAAATGTTCATTTTTTGATTTGAAAGTAAATTGTTTAAATCTTAATCATATGCGAAACTGTATAGTATTTGTTTTAGCACCAGGAAATGCACTAAAAGACGTTAATGATTAGTATGCCCTAATTTACCTGCTTATAAGGTGTTAATTCGTTTATTTGAATGAGATTAGAGTCATTAAAAAGAGAGATCTCCGGCCAAAAAGCATGTTTTAATGGAATTTTAAATAATGAGTATACAAAACGTGGTTTTTATATGATGAATACACAGATTTTCAACTTCCACTTTTATCGGAGGTCAAATACATGAAAGTGAAAGTTTAGTCGAAAGCGTTTAAGTTTTAAAATTAGCCGCACCAAACACTTGATTATTTTAGACATTTTCGACGACATTTGTTTAAATATGTTAACGGTTATTGTGAATGGCTTTATCAAATAACAAACAAAGTATAAATATTATTTTACGAATTTTCGTTTAATTTACCTTGCAATAATGACAATGTAGACAATAATAATTATATAGGAAGCTTGTTGATAGGTATTTGTGAACGCTGCCAGTCTGATTAAAATATATGCTCTTTTTACTCCGTGCCATTTCCAAATTTGAGTTCCTTATTGTTGTTCCTCATTATGAGAAAATTAAGTGGTTTATTGTATAGATTTTTTTGAATATTTAAAGTTGATGTATAATGTTGCTGTCTCAGTAAAAGTTATTCTATTAAACAACTTAACTTCTTTTTATATGATGTTTCTTTCTTAAGTATCCAATTTTGACCCGGTCTCCCCTACAAAAACTAAAAAAACTTTTGGGTGTTTCATTCCCACCAGCCAGTAATGCTGGTGGGCGGGCAGTCCCTCCGGACTACGCCGGAAGGTAGGGCGGAAGGCCCTCTTCAGCCTGCTTTCAAGAATCGTGGGAATGGGTGGGTGGTGGTTCGGGTGAGAAAGATGAGACGGACGAAATGAAGACAGAAGAGAATGAAAGATTATCTGTGGAATATTACTGCCCCAGCATTTGCCTATGTGATCCAAGGAAACCACAGAAAAACTTGGACCAAGGCAGACGGACCCGGAATCGAACCGGCGTCCTCCCGAATGTTAAGCAATGGTCTAGACCTCTAGGCCATGCCGCTCGGTGTTCTCCCCTACACTCTTTCTCCTATGTATATTATTGCACATTATTATGTTTAATTTGTAATTTGTAATTTATTTTGAAACGTTATTTACTCTATTACAGTGAACGATGCTTCCGGGAGATACGACGGTTTGTTTTTCTTTGGGAATGACTACTGGTTAGGATCTAGTGTTCACTGCAGCGAACTGACTGATCCTTCCGGTAATCCGGAAGTTCCGCCGTTTCCGGTCCACTTTTTCGTCGCCAAAGTTAGAATGAACATCAACGAAAAACTGACGCCAGTAGTAAGTAAAGTTTAACGGTAATAATTTAATCATTTAGTGGACTGTAAGAATAAGAGCGAACTTGGGAATTTTGAAAGAATATTTTTTTAAGCCGAAATTATCTTTTAGGAATTAAAAAAATGATTTTTATATTTTTTACTGTGTAGGCAGAAGGACATTAATTGGGATTTCGTTAGGTATTAGTATTTTCGGTAATTGTCCAGAATTTGGGCACCAGACTAAAATCGCTTCAAAAATTTTTTCATCGATTTCTGAGGATTCTACATACATCAATGTTAATAAAAGAATTTTATGCAGTGACAATCGTGAGATAAGGAGATAAAAGCTTGTATAACTTTTAACCCAACCCCCCTTCTGCCCCTGATCTCCTCACCCATCTCTTCCCACATCTACAGTTCTCATTAAAAATTTTTGTTTTTTTTTTTATTTATGATGTCATAAAAAACTGTCTCCCCAACCTTCTAATATTTAATTTTATTATGTGGAATTACCGGAAATTTTTGGAGCGATTTTGGTCTGCATCCCCAATATTGGATAATTACCGTATTTTCAAATATAGCCGATTGAAATTGTTGATTGGATGTTAAGTATCTTGGTTATATTGGCGGTTAGCTTTCTAAGTAAATATTGGGTTGTGTAACGCATACATGAACTTACATGTGCCACATTTCTTCATGTTCCGAGAACCTTATCTAATTTATTATGAAATAGAGGAAGAATTTTAATAGCGGATAGCACTTATTGAGAAAGATATACGACGTACAATTCTCATATAAGCTGCATCCTTTGTATAATGACTATCAAGTGCTTATACCTAAATTATTACATATTTGAAGAAATTAGATGCAATAGGTGATGGATGCTCTGGAGTAATTTAACTTATACATCGCTAGTACCATGTAAATGCCATTGTAGTTTAGTAGGTAATCAGTAAATTGCTTGCGTGCTACATTTATGAAACTATTTATAACTAGTTAGATATGTGTGTTAGCTCGTTACGTTTGAAGTACCGTGCTAATTGTGGCCTAGTTATCATTTTTTCGTGTAAAGAATATTAATATTCAACAAGTAGATTATTTCCTATTTTTTTTTACCATTTGATACCATTGTTTCGGCAAATACATCTGCGAAGTGCAAAGACATAGTGCAAAGCATATAAAAACTTTAAAGTAACTTATTTATCTTATCGTCATCACCATCATAGGGTCGTCAGTCTTCGCATTTCCCTTAAACTGGAACATCCCACAGCCGTAACTATTTGTGAACAGTTATACAATGTAGGTCTACAGTTACTCCTCTTAACTCCTGCTTCTCCTTGTAATAGGTCCGCTATAAAACTGTAGCATTTACTTTCTTCTTTCAAATCACTAACTAGATTAGAGGGGTTGCTGACAGAACGCCTACTTTAATCACAACATATTTTGTAAGGAATATCGCAAACATAGAAAAGAGATGTCAGGTAGGAATTGCAGCGGACACTACTATTCTTCCATCCTGAATTATCTGATTTCTTAATTTTTCGTCTCCTATGTTCATATTCACCCTTTTCGCCCTTATGTTTATACATTTGCTTTGCCAAAAAACCTAAGAAACACTTTTATTTTGCTTCGCATTGAGTACGTAAATAAAATGGTATGTTCTATATAGTTATTCACAGGGGGTTTGTTTTTATTACTTCATTTATCCTTATTACAGTCTAGCTTTTTTCTATATTGATCACTTATGATCCTTTTAAATGTTCCCAAATTCGGACAGATAAAGTTTAATAACAGGTCCAGAAAAATGTTTCGAAGAATGACATATACAACTATCATTAACACCAATCATTTAGACAGGATCGTACTCATTTCGTTTCACAGCACTTCTTAGAATATTCAGTTTAATTTACAAAGGTGTCTAAAGAAACACCTTGCGTATATTATAAAATTCCTAAAATGTAATTTACATATACACTGTAAGTAGTCGTAAGTAGTATACATATTTATCTTAGTTTCCAATAACCTAATTAACGGATTGCGAAACTTTCTTTCCTGAGGTTTCGCGATATGTAAAACATAACGAATCCGTTTTCCTCTTGATAAATGTGTAAGTGTGTTTAAAATGTTGTTTTTAGCTCAATAAATTTCTGCAAAGGCCATAAAAATGTGCAATCGAACATTCTAAACGTTCTTTTACCTTGAGTAAGAACATTGTTTCTCTAGTCCTTAACAAATAAACATTAAACGCATGATATTTTACTACAGATTAATAGACGTTGGTCAGGTAGCTGTAAATTCTTCAATGGATACTACAATTTGAATAAAATCTAGTAACTAATGCTACTTAAGTATATACTATACAACAAACCATTAATGTATTAATGTAAGTAGGTACATACATACATTGACCTGAAAATTTTATATATATCAAATGCTGAAGGATTACAAAATATCTCAAAGGAGATAAAACACATATCAAATTCACTTACAAAGTTAATTAATTGCGTTTGATATGAGCTTGTTTCTAGAATTCAAAACGATGTTTTAAAGTTACCCTAGATAAAAATTTTCAGTCTCTCTCCAGTCTCTCAAAGTCTTACAGAGTCTTTCAGCGTCTCTAAGAGCGTCTCTCACAGTCTCTCAATTATTGTCTAGGCGTTTTTATGGATCTCTCACAGTCTCTGTATGAGAGACTGAATGAATAAAACTGAAAAATTGAGGGACTCGAGTGTCTCCCGTAGAAAGACTGGGATCTCTGAAATATGTTGAACTTGTCTATCGAGACACCACTTATTGAGATATTTGAGTCTCTCGTTCAGAGATTCGAGTCTCTCGTTCAGAGACGCTAAACAGTTTTTTTGACAATCTCTCGACAGTCTCTCTCAGCGTTACCAGAGAGATTCGATGAGAGACGGAGACTCGAGTCTCGCTTTCAGAGACTCTGCGAGACTGAACATTTTTATCTTGGGTAGCCTCAATTGAGTAAAACCTTACGAAATAGATAAAGTTAAAGACAGATATCAAAGTAATATCTCTCTGAAGTTTTGCGTTTACTTTCAATTGTTTGTTGCTGAAATTAAATGTATATTTTTTATAGTAATAATTTTTCTGTTTTTTCAAAAAATATTTTCTTTTGTATTGGTTCCTATAAATATTAAAACGATTAAATAGAATAAGTTTGTTTTAAAAACATTACGTTTAGATTATACGTTGATTATAGTTGATATTGATAATAAATAAATGTGAACATTCATCAGTCAGTATCTATCAATTTTATCTTTGTATTTTTGTTTAAGACTCGACAGTTGAATATAGGCCAATGCCTTCCAGGATCCTGCTCTTCATCCGATATTCGCCAGCTTCTGGCCCATGAACGAACCCAAGGAGCTCATCTAACAATAGTCGGCATACGACCTGTTCCAGGAGACTATGCCTTATTCCAGGATGTCAAGTTGCACATAATCGGGTAGGTATGCTATCCATTGACTTTCGTTTTTGTGAAGTGAACTGCTTATTAATTATAATGAAACTCTCTAACACTTGAAATATGTTTATTGGTTCCTATTACCTATTTCGGAAAAGGTTTTAAGCAAAAGTTGAAGGGGATATCAATTGGTGACATTTAAAGTGGCCCTGACATTAAAATTGGGAGGCACTTCCAGGCCTAGTTATTTTTTAATAGGAATGCATATAATTGGATTTCGGAAATTTGATAACCGAAATTTAGTTGGTTGCAATATAAAGATAGGAGACGAAAAATTAGAAGAAGTGGCCGATTTTAGGTATCTAGGAAGTCAGATAAGTCAGGACGGAAGAAGTAGTAGGGATATAAAGCAGAGGATAACACAAACAAAAAAGAAGTTACTTCTATGTTCGCGAACGGTTAATTTGGAAATTCGGAAAAGGTTGTTAAAAGTGTATGTTTGGAGCACGGCGCTGTACGGGTGCGAAACATCAACAGTAGGAGCTGCGGAAAAGAAAATGTTAGAAGCGTTCGATATGTGGTGTTACAAGCGAATGATGAGGATACCGTGGATAGAGAAAGTTAGAAATGAAGAAGTATTAGAAAGAGTAAGAGAACAGAGGACTCCATGGATATCAATAAGAAATAGGTGAGATAGAGTGAGGAGACCTTCTCAGGCATAAAGGTCTAGTCAGAGATATATTAGAGGCAGAAACGGAAGTTAGGAGGGGTAGAGGTAGACTTAGGTTAGATTGCTGTTCGCAAATAGTTAAGGATATGGGTTGCTCTAGCTTAGGACTGACGACCTTATGATGATGATGATGTGCTAGTTTTTGTTATACAATTCTTTAGAAACATAAAATGACATTATATCTATAAGTAATCCTTACCTAATCGTAAATTCGACTGTTCTAGACATCCTGAATGCAATAATAGAATTAAACTTTCCAAATTCACGTTATTGGATTTCCGCTTTAACTGTTTGTAGTTTTTTTTCAGGGAGGATAATGTCAGGTAGTTGTGAGTTTGTAGTCAGTTGGATTCGACTAACGTAAGCTAATGAAATAAAGTAGAGAGACTCGACATGGAAGAGGAAATCGGTTAGGCCATAGATTAGACCGCAGCAAGCGGTGGAGTTTGGCGCGCGGCGTGGCTCTGTTGGAAATTTATTTGGACGAACAAGCCACACGTGCAGTCCCATGTGACGGCGCCAAATGCCTACAAATTAATTCCCGATGATATAGCGCCAGACAAGCGGGATTCGCTCGTGTTGTTACGCCGCGATCGCGTCCTATATGCAAAATAAATGAAGTTGCGTTTTTGGATGCGAGCAAAATGCCACTTATCAATTTCGAAATGTGGGGGGCTTAACTAACAAACAGGTACCTGTCTGTCTTTTGTTGCCCCGTTTCACATCATTTAACCTGATAAACTGTCGCTCAATTGTAGCCGCGAGAGTAGCTAATAACACCAAAAACTGGACGGACACACACGCGTATTAAATGGTTCGCTGGGAAACAGAACAATGCGGTCTTGTTTTCGTGATAGGTTGATAAATAAAAAATGAGACGTGATGATGTTAGCTGGGTACTTCATACATTTTAGCTATGTTTTCTTCATTGTAAAAACTTACAATCGGCAGATTTTACACGAAATTATTGAACAAATTATTGTTGATTGATTCATCATGATAAAGTCGTCAGTCCTAAGACAGCTTGGACACGCACTTCCACTCTTTCCTAACTTGAGCTAATCTTCGCATTTCCCAAAACTAGAACATTCCACATCCTTAACTATTTGCGAACAGTAATCTAATCTAGGTCTACCTCTACCCCTCCTAACTCCCGTTTTTGCCTCTAATATGTCTCTGACTAGACCTTCATGTCTGAGAAGGTATCCTACAAACCTATCTCGTCTATTTCTTATTGACTTTCATAGAGTCCTCTGTTCTCCTATTCTTTCTAATACCTCTTCATTTCTAACCTTCTCTATCCACGGTATCCTCCTCAATCGCCTGTAACACCACATTTCAAACGCTTTTAACCTTTTCTTTTCCGTCGCGCCCACCATCTTTAACAAGCTTTTTCGAATTTCTAAATTAACCGTTCGTGAGGATAGAAGTGACTTCTTCTTATTGAAGGCGACTCCACCCTGCGCTATCCTCGGCTTTATATCCCTACTACTCCTTTCGTCCTGACTTATCTGACTTTCTAGATACCTAAAATCAGCCACTTCTTCTAATTCTTCGTCTCCTATCTTTATATTCGCTCTTTCCCTACTATTCCTTCTTTTGCATACCAGTATTTTTGTTTTACTTTTAGTTATTTTCATACAGTACTGTTTTGTCAGTAACGAATCCATTTTATTTAAAGCTATCTCTAACGCCTCTTTGCTATATGCTAATACTGCTATATCATTTGCAAATCTAAGCATACTAATCGTTTGCTCCTGTACATCTATCCCTACAATTGTACTGTCTTTAATGATGTAGATCGGGTCTTCGACGTATAGATTGAAAAGTAGACAGTATTGTCCTTTTTAAATTAAAACATACAAAAAACGCTGACTTAGTACCTACGTGGTGGATCTTTTACCGTTTTTAATATTCATCCCCAGATGCAATTTATTGGAGAACCTGCGGTGCAATAAACTTTATTGGCCCATGTTTCGAAATTTATCGTTTATATGCTTCTCATTATGTACAGACGTTGCTCGTAAATAGAGACACTCCAGTACCTTATGTTTTATGTTGTGGGAACACTCGGTATAGCGAAAAACAATTCAAATGTGTAATAATTAAAGTTCATCATTTCTGCCGACTTAGTAAAATCGCGGTACAGTGCGGTGAACTAGGTCATAGACATTTACACACACATATGTAAACTGCTGAACTAACTATTGCCATTAAACTAATGTAAATAATTTTTGTATAAATAGCTTGTAAAGAATTGAATAAAATTAGTCTAACACCAGGCTCACTATTATTCGGATGCTGATAAAGTGTCAACCCTTGGAATNATTATATTTATCATTTTAAAAATACCTTTAATCATTTATTTTCTAGAACTATAGAATTGTTATGTAGACAGTATTTTTACACCAACTTTTAAGAATTACCATTGCAGTTACATTTTCTGTAACATAAGTTATCTTGCTTTACACAATTTTGCTATTTATTTTTTAGTGGAGTTGGATTAGCCGTTATATGTCTTGTTCTAATAGCTACTGCTGCCGATTATTTCCACGCCAAAAAGATGAGCAACCAATCGAAAGGAATAATTTCAAATAATAACAATAATAACGTCGAAAGCCTTAAACACCACACAAATTCTACGAAAGACACGGAATCTGACAATTGCGAGAAATACAAACCAAGTAAGTTTTATAAATAAAATTAACAGATAAGTAAATTATAAACAATTTAAAAAGATAACGAGATTCAGTTCGCATTACAAATTTATTTACTTGTAGTTAAGTCTTTTAAAGTGGTTAAGTAGTAAATAAATTGTAAGGGTTTCTACAAAAAATTGTCAAATAAATAGAGTGTACTCCATATATCTAGTAGAATGAGCTATTTCAGATCATTATTAATCATAACGTACAATTGACGTGTCTACGTATCAGCTGTTGCGAAGGTTACGAATAGGTATGTGTGTGTCGATGCTTGCGATAACGAAAGACAATAAGATAATGCAGCTGCGAATCGGTTAACTGTTCCCAATCATTGCCGGCTTGTTAATTGGGGTATTTCTTATATCCCCTACGTAGTGGTGCTATCAGAAGATATACTTTACAAAGCCTCCAGATAATACCCTTTTAATTAATTATTAATTTCAGTATTATTCGGATTATATGGTCAAAATTGTAAATCTTTTACATTATTATTTATTACTGGAACAATAAATCTACTAATCCGAATACCTACCACAAGGAAGACATTGATACCCTGTGATAAAATTTGTGCATCATTCTCTTTATTTAAACAGCTTTAAACTGGTAAAATTAAACTGAAGCGGCTATAGGTGCGGATTGACTGTTCTACGAAGTCACAACTGAAGATAAGTTAGTTAAGAATTCCTCTTTAAACCCATATTAAAAAATCCATTTAGATAATTTCCCTTTTCTTCCATATCCTCGTGAATTATGAACGCAGATGAAATGTGTGACAGTCAAAATAAATTATAGCGGAGTTTAGATTAACTTGTGTTGTCATTATTCAATGCCCGACGCACTCTGCGATTTACGTTTTGCTCTATCAAATCCTTTTAAAAATTGAACTAGATTTTCGCATTTACTTAATATAATAAAAAAAACTTAAAACTGACTGGGATTGATTGATGGTTAGAAAGAAACAACCAGTACAAGATACGTGATTTGAATTCAGTGGACTACATTGTCAAATTATACAAGGTATACGTATATTAGTTGCACGGTTGGAATAGTTTTAAACAAACAATCTAAATAATTCCTTTTATTATCAAACTTCTTACTCCCTCCAATATAAACCACTGATGCAATCGAAAAGTGGATACATCTCAAGAAAATTTCTAACTAGGAGCTTAATATTCTTTAATAACACACGTGTTGTTGTGGGGGATGAAGAAATAATATGGTACTTTATTTTTCAGGCATTTTTCTACGACTGCTCCTCTGCTTTTCAGCCATTAAGAATGGAAAGTCGATATTGAACGTGGACCCTTTACCCAAAGACTCAATCAGGTCCATTCACGGGCTTCGATTTCTAAGTATTGCATGGATAATCCTGGTTCATACCTACCTTGAAGTATTTGCTATCGCCGATAACAAATCCATGCGCACAATAACCGAAAAGACTTTTATGTATCGGACGATTTCAAATGCTACTTTTTCGGTGGATACTTTCTTCTTTATAAGGTGAATATAAAAAGTACTTGTGAATTAACTTCTTACATTTTCTTACTAAAACAATTGAAGAGAAATTGGATGTTTAGTGTTTAGGTAGAAGTTTCGGAAAATTTATTTTTCAAAATAAAAAAAGACTAGTAGACGCCTATCATACACATTATTGCAACAAGAAATCAGTGTTCTCCTACTTTCATCAAAAATCACACAGTTAATTCATGCAGATTTGGTATCGTTATATAGACAATTAAAATAGTTCATTATATTGAATTATTTTTTTATTAAATTTCTGATTAATATTTTTCATTATTATGCTGCTTTTTGCCTGTACTACGGTGTATATATCACGTAGATAAATCAGCAGAAGCCTACAGTGTTAATGTCGGCAGTACCATGAGCGCCTTAGTACTGTAGTGACTTCGATCACAGATGTCGCAGCGGTTTACTTACGCAGCGGGATGAATAATATAATAATTGCAGGAGTAAATCTGTGTCAACGACAATTTATCGTAAACAACAAGTCGTACAATAGTTATAGAAAGAATAAACTAAATAAGCTGTCAAATTGTTGAACAATTCAGGGAAAACAAATCACCGTGCGATTATATATNCCTATATATATGTGAGAAAGCAATAAATAAATTCTTTCTATACGTGCGATGAGATTTTATTCAGCAGGATGCTTTTAAATTTAATGGAGAAGATTGTACATAATAGAAGCTTTTCATAAAATACTAACAGAGAAGAGGTACAATGAAGATAACGATGACTTCCGAGAGAGTCCTTGCTACATATTGAATTAGCTCGCCAACATTCCCATTAGGATCAAAGGATCACTGTTGGAGAATTGGAACACAATTTCCACTAACAGTTCACTTATTCTATTTAACTGATTGATATACAATTTTATATTGATTCTAATTATGTCTATTGTCCAATTGTCAGTTTGAAAAACTGGTTAAGTAACGTTTGGAATTATATCTCTTTGATATTCAAATACTTTCCCCATTAATTTTCCCTTTCCTTTCAGCGGTTTTCTTGTAACTCTTACGTATATCAGAACGAAATGGTATCGACAAGATAAGGAGCCATTAGAACGTATTCCTCGGGGATCATACATAGGAGAAGTTCCCAAACTGGGTCTGTTAGTTGTCTATCGTTTTCTGCGTCTCACTCCTGCCTATCTCTACGTCCTGGGAATGAACGAGATAGCAATGAGATATTTTCACAGCAGTTCCGTATTTAGTCCAGCGATTATCGATCACATCAGCTGTTCCAAGTACTGGTGGAGGAACGCCCTGTATATTAACAATTTCTTCCCTCAAACCGAGTTCTGCATGCTTTGGTCATGGTACATTTCAAACGACATGCAGTTTTTTATCATGGCCACTATCTTACTTATGATTGGGGCAAGGTAAGAGAGACATAGACATAGGAATATAGGGATGGAACATAAAATAGCCTAGATATTATTGGCAACCTATACTGCGCACGCGCAGTTTGTCAATCGCTGGGTAGTTAGCTGATGTAGAGGCGCAACCAATAAAATCTAGGCACCATTGTGTGGACTCCGCCCATCAACCTCCGAAAGCCTTGATACAACCAAAAGTTTTACAAAATTTATGCATTAATTTACGTTTTCAGGGGTGGAAAATACTTCAAATTTGCTGCTACTACAGTCGTAATATTTCTGCTTTTGTCTTGGGCCACGACATTCCTGGTGGCGATGCAGTACAAGTACGTGGCAAGGATAGAAGAGCCTTTTGCATTATTCGATCAGTTGTATGATAAGCCTTGGCTAAGGGTAGGACCGTATATTGTGGGAATGATGACGGGTTATTTTGTGTTTAACTTAAAAGGAAAACTTGAGGTACACAAAGTCCTAGTACCCCTGTTATGGTTACTATCCGTTGGATGCCTCTTGTTCCTCGTCTACTGTGTTGGAAACGATGGCATGAAGATCCCTGAATCTGCCTTTTATGTACGTCTAACGTTTTAATCATCAATTAGAATGATTTTATACCGTAGCCTTTGTGTGTGTGGGTGATCCAAATCGTATGCATCTCCTTCCACAGTAACATATTTTTTAATTAACTGATTAATAAAAGGTTTAATTAAAATGAACGGGTTCCTTAGGTCTACTTTTAAAATCTAGGATTTTATCATTTAATCACAATATTTAATTAAAATATGCTAATTTTCATGTATTCGAGGCGGAACTTAACAGTTACAAGGATTCGGTGGATTTAAATATTTAATTCGGGTCTATATTTAGCTACGTATACATACATTCTACTGATATGCGGTAACTATTACATTTTTAATGTTTTATGTTTAAAGTATCTGCGTGTACTACTATGCACAATCGACAACGGTTCAGAATTCAAATTTTAGACGGGCTTAGCCAATATTTAGATTAATAATTTGGGATGAGTGTTGCTTGAATTAATTTGTGAAAGTAAGACTGTAATCCGTCGAGTTTCAAATTTCATTTTCTTGGAGAGCTAAGACACTGAAGTAAAGTTCAGGTTCGCCATTTCTGAAAATGTAAGAATTTAACGTAACGTAATTAAAATTCTTGGAACAACAACAAAGAAACCTGATAACTGCGGGTGATAAATTGGATTCAAAAACGACTGAGATGAAACAGGGGATTAAAGTTTTTGAATTAAACAAAAATCTTTTAGTACATTTTAGTTACTTATAGGACAAAAAGTTTCCAAACTGGACTTGTTTGCTAATGTCAAATCAAACACAATCCTTACATCATTATTTTCATACGCAATCGTCACAAATTCTTTGTCAACTGTTTGAACTGTTGGGGTGAATGCAATTTTGCACCAAAAATAGCTTCTATTTACTTCATTTTGTAACAGTTGGAACTATAGGTTTACAAACTAGTCCGAAGACCTTTTGATTGCACTAGGTATTTGAGGAAATTAGTCAATTGTTATAATTTATTCATTATTATTATCGTCATACTTTTATTTGAATTTCTCATAAAGTTTTTATACCTCCAATAAGTTATAGTTATGTGTACTTTCTTAATCACCTAGTTGTGGAATTAATTTAAATAACTAACATGTTAAAGCACAGTAACTTGCTTACAAAATTATATTGATTATTTATACGAAGCTGTTAACGTGATAACCTGTTGCTGAAATACGTGAAGCATACTGCAGTGGTATGGCTGACCATTGGGTGTACATTTAGTTATTTCTACAGCAAAGGTGTTGGGTAATATAATTAACTTTGAAACAGATGTGTTTGTTACACGCAAAACGGCATTGCGTCTCAAAGAACGAATACAATTTTATCGAGCATAGTTTAACAAATGCCTATTATTGATAAGTATACCAATCAACAATTTAAATGGTTGGTTGTGGTACTTACTTGATCTTGATGGTTTCTTAATTTTATAGAAACCTCTCGAAATGCGTTTGTTATGCGGGTCGTTCGGTGTATGGTTTATGACCCTGAGTGGTCCGCCGACTAATTGTCGATATTATTGGTCTGTTATACGTTGCATTACAATTTTATACTTCGTTTACTTTCTGTAGCAATGGGACCTTCAGTTTGACCGGCACAAAGTAGAAAAGAAGAGCACTAGGCCAGAAAAGAAAGGAGACAACTCTCGGCCAAACTCTTAACCGGTGAGGAGCGTATAATGCGTACAGTACTGCACGGAAAAATTGACCATTTTATCCACTGCAATTGCATTGTTCAAATGTGCTGTTATTGGTACCATTTACTACTGAAAATATCAACGAGATGTTTATTTATATTTGAAGACATATTATAGACTTTAAAGCTTGTTTTCGACTCGCACTACTTTTCATGATTGAACAAAACTTTTGGCAGGTACTGTATGAAAAAGTATGTTTAATGAACAAGAATAAATAAATTCTTTCTATACGTGCGATGAGATTTTATTCAGCAGGATGCTTTTAAATTTAATGGAGAAGATTGTACATAATAGAAGCTTTTCATAAAATACTAACAGAGAAGAGGTACAATGAAGATAACGATGACTTCCGAGAGAGTCCTTGCTACATATTGAATTAGCTCGCCAACATTCCCATTAGGATCAAAGGATCACTGTTGGAGAATTGGAACACAATTTCCACTAACAGTTCACTTATTCTATTTNTAAAATTTAACTTGTTACTGTAGAGATTTGTTGTTATGTCTTACGTCTGAATGAGGAGAATACATTATCGTTGCTGTTTTTCAATTATCGTTCTGAAAATAGGCAGCTCTGGGACACACAGCGTGGGGTCTATCCTTAGCTTGGATAGTGATTGCCTGCCGTCACGGCTATGGTGGCATAATCGATTACATTTTGGGATTTAGGGGAATACTTCCTCTCAGCAGATTGACGTATTGTGCCTACCTCGTTCATCCAATGATAATGTGTCTGACTAGTTTCGAAATGGATGGGCCCTTTCATATGCAGCAAGGCATCGTGGTAAGTAACCGATGATATACCCCCGAGACAAATGTCACATATCAACCGCAGCCTCCAAATCCCTCAGGCATAACCGATCAGATTGATAGTCAGGTGAAACCTGTTTATTACTAACATGAACATACTCATTGTCAACAAACAACAAAATAGAATTTTGTACTTACCTCATACAGTGGATTTCGGGTATAACGACCACTGTAATTTCGTCGCTATATCCAGAAGTCGTTACAGGCAAAGTCAAAGAAGATATACACACTTTTTTTTCAATTTTGAAACATTTTTCGCCTTTTTTTAACAGTAAAAGTACATCTGGAAGTCACACTTATTCAAAAGTTTACTAAACCCAGTTGCTACTCAGAAACAACGGTAGAGGTCACCACACTTGTTGACATGGTGAATGTAAACAAAAGACAAGAAAGCTCTTTGTGTTTTTAGCGGCTGACTCCGGTCGCTATATCTGCATGGGATTACTAGGGATTTATTACAAATGATTCATTAAAAACAGTCGTTACACCCGAACTCGGCGTTACATCCGAAGTCGCTATAGCCACAATGGTCGCTATAACCAAGGTCGTAATAAATGGAATCCACTGTAATTCTATTGTTTTAAAATAGCTGACTCAAAATTGTCTACCAAAACTTTAGAAAATTTGTCCTAAACATTTTATGTATTGATTTTAGTTGGTCGTATTTTTTGGAAACGTGGTCACGTCATTCTTGATGTCTTTTGCCATATCGTTGTGCTTCGAAGCTCCAGTAATCGGAATTTTAAGAATTCTCTTCTCCAAAGAATTAAAAGACACTAAACCGAATTAGTAACGTTTCGTAATTTAAATTAGAACCGATTATCATCAGGCCAAAGTTAAAGGAGTTTCGACGATTGTATAAACTGTAAATATAGATAAGAAAAGAGTAGGTATGCCTACAATAATAATTATTATCAAACTATTTACTATGTGTTATTTTTCAAATTTATTTTGTTTCAAAAGTGACGTATTTTTTATTACAAAATGAAATTAGCCAGTTTCAATTTGAGAACTTAAAAGGTTTCAACTGTTTCAATTCTATTACGTTTGTATCTAAAAAAATACTTTGTACCTTATAAATTACAGGAATAAATTGTTCTTAAAAAATCAGCTGTCTTTTATTATTGTAAAATTTTACCTATTGGTTCTTAAACTACCTTTACAATATACGTAGATTTTTATTTTTTACTTGTTCTTTTACTACATCATTTTCACAAGGTAAGTATGAGAACAAAATGTTATGAACAATTAAATGGTTTATTTTCATAAAGTTTCAAATATAATTTAAAGAACCTTCGCTAATAATTTTCTAGCGGATTTTATGAAGTTTTGAAGGTGTGTGTAATATTAAGAAAATTTCTTTTCTTAATTTATTATTATGCTCTATTGTATAATCAGCCTTTTAGCTAGCGTATTTTATTAGAATGGCATTTAGTAGGCGTTAATAATTACCTATTAAAGCACAATTATTATCTCAATTAACATGCAAGCAAATAAGTATTAAGCAAAGGCTTCTCCAATTAAGAATTGATCCGGCAGGTGCTGCTTGTTGTGGACAATCCTTAAACTAAAGGTACAGTCTCTCGGATGACTTATAATCTTCTGGTGTAAGGAAATAGATATTTGATTTATAATTCGACGTGACGTATTTTAATAGAAACAGGCGATATATTCGGAAGGTCAGATACCAAACAATTTCCCTCCATTAAGGAAAAATTCATCTTAAACTTTCCATAAAGGATATTTTATTACGTGTAGCTATTTAAAAATGTAACGTGTTATAGGAAAATTCGTATAAATATTCGTCTATATAAATAAAAATCAATGGCTAAATGTGTTTCTAAGCGGAACATTCGAGAACGACTGGACCAATTTCCATAATGTTTTTTCTTAAATATTCCTTGAAGTCCGAGGAAAGTTCTTAAAAGAAAAATGTTTACCAATCGTTAAAAGTTTTAGATAGTCGACGTTGTTGTAAACTTTCTCATTATTTACCGACTTAACGACGTCTTTTTTCCTTGAGAGACGGATATCCTGGAAGAAATAGAGACACGCGTGCGAGTTTGTCTCGTTTTTTGTTTGGAAAAATATCGGTTACAAAGGAAAATTTGTTTCATCAAAAGAACTAATAGGATTGTGCCTCGGGAACAATCAGGCAGCACCTTTTAGTAGAATGGAGATTAACGGCTTTCTAATTCCGAAAGACGATGAGGAATATGTTAAACACATAATTAATGTTTTAGAAACTATCTTTCCTTCAGGATTAGATTACCGATTTTACAAGCATTCCAAAATACAAATAGGTCTCTCAAATTAGTTTGTTATTATTATTAATTAATATTAAGATGACAATAATAACTCAGAGTTAAAGTTTTGGTACCATTTCTTTGTTTGGATAATATAGGGAGTCACAGGTATCTGATCTATTACCATCATAAGGTCAGTCGTAAGACTGGTTGGACACGCAACTCCACTCTTCTAATCTAGGACTACCTTTGCTTATCTTAACTCCTGGTTCAACTTCCAGTATGTTGCTGAGAAGGTGTCCTACCAACCTATCTCGCCTATATTGACTTCCGTCCCCTGTTCTCTTACTCTTTCTCATACTTCTTCAATTCTAACCTTCTCTATCCACGGTATCGTCATCATTCGCCTGTAACACCACATTACATTTCGAACGCTTCTAACCCTTTCTATCTGATCTATATGGTAAATTTATTCGAAAAGGAAGCGTTATATCTCAATATAAAGGCGAGATTATAAAAAACGTTTAGTATTTGTTTCTAAATCTGATGTACCTAATCAGTTTGAATTATCGTAATATTGTTTATTACTTAAGTTTATTATGGCCTATTTGAATCTATATTTTATTTATGTAAATGCAAATTCGCTGTTTCATAATCAGTTTGATGCTTATTTAACTGAAAACATGCTATTGTTCTACATAGTACAAATGGCCTTTGCGAAAGCCTATGATTTCACATTGTATATCGCTATATTGACATTGATTGTACATTTAGAGACAAAGCCACAATATTCCATTTGCCCGTGGCTCTCGTGAATAGTAAAATTGCATTTATTGTGTACTTTTAGACAACAGGGAATGTCCAATAAACAAATAGCCAAATGAGTATGACAAGTGGTAGTAGAATAAGTAATGATAAACAAATGGCTACATGAATAAAACAATTTCAGTTGTTTCTGCTGTTTATTTTTCTTTTAATTATTTGAACGTTCAGCTTTTTTTTCTGATTGTAATGTCCATTTGTCAATGTGATTGAATGCCGACAAACGAGGAGCTTATGGGACACCAAGTTACAACATCATTATATATTTGAGATTAATAGTCCTTTCTGATTTATAGGCATGGTTCACGGAATTATCTATCTGGGCGCAGTGATCTGTTTCTAAATTATGAATAAGCAGAATACCTACGATCGTTGCATTCTCTTGTGTAAGGGGTGGAGGTATAAATAAGAGATGATATTAGAATCGACGAGATAAAAATACAGAAGATGTTGGAACAAATGACAAAAGAGGAGAGAGAAGAAATGTAGAAAAGACGGTTACAGTTGGGTACAGGAAGGTGATAATAGATGAGGTAGTGTGGATATGCGACGAGGAAAAAGAAGGAATGGTAGATGGACATTTAGTAGGAAATAAGAGGAGGGTTGAGAAGAAGCTAATTGTGGTGGAAAAAATAGGGTACAAAGGTAGAACGGCAAATTCAGCTGTATATAAAATTTTCGAAAAGTAATTTTATCATCATAGGGTCGTCAGTCCTAAGACTGGTTGGACACGCACCTCCACTCTTTCCTATCCTGAACTAAACTTCGCATTTCCCTAAAACTAGCACAACCCACATCCTTAACTATTTGTGAACAGTAATCTAGTCTAGGTCTACCTCTACCCCTCCTAACTCCTGTTTCTGCCTCTAATATGTCTCTGACTAGAGCTTCATGCCTGAGAAGGTGTCCTACCAACCTATCTCGCCTATTTTTTATTGACTTCCATAGAGTCCTCTGTTCTCCTATTCTTTCCAATACCTCTTCATTTCTAACCTTTT